CACGGGCTCTCCATTCCCAACATCGACAAGTTGGCGGAATTGCACACGTCCTTGCAATCCGTCGGAGCTCCGCCCGACGTCCGACTGATTCTCGGGAGCGACTCGGACCAAGGGGGGCCCGAACTCACTAGTGATTGCAAAGCCCACGAACACGAGTTGGAAATTGGAAAACCGAAAACCTACATAAGCATGTATCCTTGGAACTCCGCGCAAATGTTATGGGTCGGCGGTGGACCGCTTCGCTTCCCCTGGCGCGCGAAGAGCGCAAGGGGCGGTGCCGAAGGGGGGAGGGGGGGGGCGGGAGGAGGTCCAGCGCCGATTCAAGAAATCCGTGCGGACCTCCGAAAATGCATGTGCGTGTCGCTCGTCATTCTCATGGCAGCCCTCTCCCTCGTGTGCAACACTGCGGGGTGGGACCCTCTGGCGGTCAACGTGCGGAGTTGGCAGCGGTCAAAGCGAGTGGTAAGACCCCCCCAAGCAAGCAATGCTTAGCTGCTTAGGCATGACACTTCTGTAAGTCTTCGTCCATCCCACTTCTCGCCCCCCGATCGCGAAGCTGTCTCCCCCCAATCGCTGCCCCCCCGCGCGGGTCCTGCGGCAGCTGCCCCGCCGCCCTCGCGGAGGAGGGTATATGTGGCCGGGTGGCGGAAAGCTTGGCGCGAGGGGGGAGTGGCAATCATGATTGGTTCCAAGCAAAAAAGGTTTTCCGCCGTAATGGAATCGCAAACAAAATGTTTTGGCTTCGAACGATTCCCACCGGAACTTTCGGTGTTTGTTCCCGACGGCGCGCGCGCCTGTTGGAACGACGTGCGCGGGGCCTGGTTGTCTTGGCCAGCGCGGCGGTCGGGCCAGGTTGTCGGTTGCCGTTGTCCTAGAATCTAGCAGTCCAGTTTGTCGTGAGAGGAGTGCCCCTGACGAAAGAAGCAGAAACAAACCCTGCAACAACAAACCCAACGCCAAAACGGGTTGTACGAGACCCCGAAACTTCCTCCATGCTTTGACTGCCGTGGTGTGGCTCGTCGTCGTCTAATGCGTCGTTGCTGCGCCTGTGTGTTCCTGTGACCACCCTGCCCTCGGCGCGCACGCCGCCTTCGATAGGACGCAATGAAATCAGCCGTGGCTGTATTGCATTATTGCATGTCCTCTTCGATCCTGGCCAATGAGCTCATGGTATGTAGCGCGATGTTCTCGACGAGCTGGCATGACGTCGCGACGATGCGTTGTCGAATCGGTCGTTGCTGCGGCTGTTTGCTTCTGTGGCCAACCTGGCGACGGCACGCATATCACGTAAGATGAAATGCCGACTATCGGTCGCTGCTGCATTGCAGTGTATCATAGAATCTTCGGTTCTCGTTGGTTATGACCTAGTATGTAATAGTATTTCCTGCGTTGATCCATTCTGCTCTCGACAGACCAACGTGACGTTGTGACGCCTGTCCCATTTGATGCGTGGTCTGATCAGTCGTTGATGCGGCTCGTTGTTCCTCTGGCCAACCTGACCTCGGCACGCATGTCGAATTTGTTGGGGCGCCATTGATCGGTCGCGCTGTTTCTATCATAGTATGGTAAATTCGTTTCTTTGATGTTGTATTAATAAGTTGCCCTGTTCTGTCCGGCGGGCCAGCAAGACGTCGTGACGCCTGTCACGTTTGATACGTGGTCTGATCGGTCGCTGCTGCGCCTGCTTGTTCCTGTGGCCAGCCGTACGTCGGCGCGCATGTCGCATGTAATGGGGAGCCGTTCATCGGTCACTGCTGTTGTCGGCTCTGTTATGTAACTCATGATCGGATCTGTTCTCCTTCAATGAACTATATCATGGTACTTGCTGCTATGATTATTTGTTTTGTGATGCTTGAATAAGAACATACTGCTCAATGTTGATGCATCTGGCACTGTTATGACAATTACCTTGTGTTATGCGCTGGCGAAATTACTCGAGGAACGTGGTTCTGCTCAACGGCCGCCAATCCTCCGGAGTTTCTGAACCGTTCTCCAACAATTTCCGGGCATTTCTCCACATACCTGTTGAAAACTGTCGGGGAACTGTCTCTCAAGCAGCGCGTTTACTCCTTGCGCCTCTCAGGGTGGGTTGGGGGGGCGTCTTGGGGGCCTCTTGAAACTCTTTGGGGGCCCCCTTGGGGGCTCCTTGGAAGCCTCCGATGGCCTCTGGTCCCTTCGTGGACCCTTGTTCGGCCCAGCGGCCGACAATCCTCCGGAGCTTCTGGACGGTTCTCCAACAATCGGGGATGGACAGACCCCCCTTTAGTAAAACGTGGTTTAGTGAAAACGGCCTGAGGCCCAAACCTGGCGGGCGCAAGCCTGGAAAATAACGGCCACGGCGCCCTCTCGAGAACCGAAAACGGACAATTCACTAATCGACGTGTCACTGTTGGGGGTTCTGTCCACCCCCGAAACAAGTCTCCGATAATTATGCAAAGGATTGTTGGAGAACTGTCGGCGCAAGCGGCGCGTTTCCTGCTTGCGCCTCTCAAGGGGATTTGGGGGGGTTTGAGGCCCTCCCAGGGGCCTCCAGATTTTTTTTTGAGGGGGCCCCTTGAGGGCTCTATCGAAGCCACTGATGGCCTCTGGACTCTTCGTCGAGATTGTCCGGCTCAACGGCCGAGAATTCTCCGACAGGTCTCCGTCGGCTACCCAGAGATCTATCCTCTCTTCCGCCTCCTGCTCTTCCTCTTCCCCCTGCTCCTCTTCCTCCTCTTCCCCCTCCTCCTCCGCATCGTGCTCCTGGTCCTTGTCCTCATCCTCCTCTGCCTCCTCCTCCTCATCCTCCTCTCCTCTGGCTCTGAGGGGCCCTCTGCACCCCTCAAGAGGGCGCAGGTGGGAGGTGTGAGAAAGGAGGCACAATAGTAGGAATCAAGACAGCGGCGAACGATGATGAATAATACCAATAATAATGCAAATGGGGAATTATCAAAAATGATGATGGTGATGGTGATGGCGAATGATGATGATGATGACGATGATGATGATGATGATGATGATGATGATGACGATGGTGGTGGTGGTGGTGATGACGATTATGATGATGACGACCGAGATGATGAATGATGAACATGGTGATGGTGAGGCTGATGATCCCGATGTTGATGATGTTGATGATGATGATGACGATAATGATGATGATGATCATGGTGATGATGATGCTGATGCTGAGGATGACGCTGGTGATGATGTTGATAATGGTCCTGATGATGAGGAGGGGGATTGTCCCACTGGTGATGGCCATCATGGAGACGGGAAGGTCGCAAGGCGACGAGATGTAGACATATCCACTGTCCCTGTCCAGACCATTAGCAAGCGATGGAGGCACATACATCGCCGGGCCCAAGATGGACATGGCCAGGGTGCGGTGGCTACGTGTAGACTTCGTAGCCGCACCCAGCTCGCGTCGTATGCGCGCTTGCACGACTTACACGCGACGCCTCAAAGCAGCTCAAACCGGGCGCCGGAAGCTCGCCGAGCTGCCAGCGCCTCGCTCAACTCCGCCTCGAACTCTGACACTCACCCGCGCAACGCGTCATCATCACCTGACGCGGCCGCGCTCTCCCGCGTCTCCTGCGCCTCCCCCACGCCTGCGCCCTGAGACAAGCTTCCGCCGCCGCCAGCGGCCCCCCTGCGGCTTCCGCCGCCGCCAGCGGACGCCCCGCGGGGAGACAAACTTTCGCCGCGGCCAGCGGCCTGCGCCCGGGCGGCTGGCGCCGGGACGGCGCGCGGCACCTCCTCCAGGCCTGGCGCCGGGAGACAAGCTTCCGCCGCGGCCAGCAGCCACTCCCCCGCGGGGAGTCACTCTGCCGCCGCCGCCAGCTTCCGCCGCGGCCGGCGGCCGGCGCCGCCGGCGGCCGCTGGCCGCCCGCAGGCGCGGGCGGCGCGCGGCGCCTTCGAAAGCGGCTCGGGGGCCAGAGCTGCAGACGGCGAAGGCGCGGCGCCCAACCTCTCGCCGGAGGGCAGGCCTCCGCCGGGGCCGCGGGACTGGAGGCCCGCGAGGCGCCCGCGGGTGCGCGCCTGCCGCCGGAGAGGCCCGCTGGCGCTGGAGCCCGCCGCCAGGGGCGTTGGCAGCCTGCTCCGCGGGCGCCCGGGGCGCCGGGGCGGGCGTGGGCGCCCCTGCTCGCCCGAGGGGCGCCTGGGGTGGAGGAGGCGACTGGACGGCAGGCGGAGGAGGGAGCCGCCCTCGGGGTCTCATCCCACCCTCTTCCCCACAGCCCCTCCAAGAGGCCCCTCGCCAGGCTCTTTCCACACATGCCCACTCCTCCAGGCTCCTGAAAGAAGTCCCTTCCAGAAAGCCTTTCGCCAGGCTCGTCCAAGAAGTCCCTCGCCAGGCTCCCTCACGCGCCATTCCGCCCTCTTCCACCTTTCCCTCGCTGCTGTTGCTGACACGAGCGTTAGAAACGAACCAACTGAAACATCTGCAACCATACTGACCTGCTTGGCCTGCGCATGCTGAATGGTGATTCCGCAGATATTGGCAGTTGTTGCCGTTGTTTTGTAGGGTACTAGTTTGCAGATGCCCTCCCTCCATCTACCTCACTCATGCTCCCACCTCATATCCATCTCCTCAGCCTCCTCACTCCTGATCGCACCCGCATTGCTATCACCCTCCTCACCCACATAAACCTAATCCTCATGCTCCGTTATCTGCCCTCCTCCTCCTCCTCCTCCTCCTCAGCGGCATCATCGTCGTCATCATCATCATTATGACCATCATCATTAGCATCAGCATCAGCATCAGCATCAGCATCAGCATCAGCATCAGCATCAGCATCATCATCATCATCATCATCATCATCATCATCATCATCATCATCATCATCATCATCATCATCATCATCATCGTCATCGTCATCGTCATCGTCATCGTCATCGTCGTCGTCATCATCATCGCCATAATCATCATCATCGTCATCATCATCACCATCATCAGCTTCCCTCACCCCGTCCTCCTCCTCCTCCTTACCGCCCATCATCTCACCCCCAGAACAGCGCGCGCGGCAGCGCCGCCTGGTACGAGCCCCAGGCACCGCCGCCGCCGCCGCCACTGGCCTCGGCGCCGTCCCACCTGTCAGGTTGTCCGCGCACCGCGCTCCACCGTCATTATCCCCCCCCCCACGAGGGAGGGAGTATTGGGTAGGAGCCACCCTTTCCTTAGCTAAACGCCATGGGTGCGCGCTCCAGAGGCCACGACTGCTTGCCAAGGCTGTGGGGCCGCGCTCCCGAGGACTCGATCCGTGGCACGAAACGAATGATCCGAGCTCCCGAGGCACAATCCCTTGTAAAACACCAGGGCCTCCGGACGTACCCAAGACGACCTTAGAGAGCCCCTCGACGACCCACGACGCAAGACGGCCCAAAGACAGTCCCACGACGGGCGCAAGACCCACTCTGCGGCCAAGAGGGCCCCAAGACGGCCCAAGAGGGCCCCAAGTCGGCCAAAGGGACCCCCAAGACTGCCCCACTGAAGGAACAACAAAAAAGAAGACGACGAAAACAAAAAAGAAACCCGGACACGGAGGAATGTGTCACATCTGACGGCTTCCCCAAGCCTCGAGACACGAAGTATCACACGTCCCGGCCTCCAATGCACCACCCGAACAGTCACTACGCAAACGATGAAAATACCCCCGAGATCTCGCCCATAGATTTGAACAAATCACACAAAAAATCCCGACGACTCCCATCGGAGTTGTGATACCGTGATACAGGATGCCCCGAAATATCCCAATATACACTCTACGAGCGTGTCTCCAAATATTTCGACAGGGACTCTGTGCATCCCCAAATGTGGTGGCAGATGTGCGACGCAACGCAATTTGAGAGGACGGCAGGACAACTCTATGTGGAATTGCGTGCATTCCACGAGAGCAGGGCACACCAGATTGCGCATGTACAAGAATTACATGGCGTGGTAAGCTTTGCACGGCACGCAGGCGCGGTTTTGTGCACGGCGAGGAAGGTATCAAACAATCACCAGACTCGCTTGGTACTTGCCTGTAGCCGAAACAATTGCGCGCATGGGTGCAACGCCAGCTTCCGCCACTAACAGTTGCAAGTTATCTGTGTACGCCCACTTTCCAAATATGAGACATATCTGCCAACCACTAGCAATGCAAGCCACAAGTCCACATGCCGTGAACATCCCTTACACGAGAAGCCAGCCAAGAGAAGACGCAATGCGGAATTGATTGACACTCCCCTGACAAGCAGCGCACACATGATACAACATTACGGACGGCCAAAAGTATAGCCCTGATTCAACGACGGCCAGAAGGTTGTCCTTCCGAGCATGTTCGTGAAAGCTCACCTTCGCCATCCTGAATGCATCTCGACGCTGCGCTGCCACGATGGCGGGGTGTACTGCCTGCAGCTGTAAGAAATTGCAAGCATCCTGGCCTCACCTCTGCCTCGGTTTGGGAGCAGGCCATGCTCCATTCACTTGTATCTAACGCCGGGCTCACACATTGCGTTGTCGCGTTTGTGGTAACCCGGGGTTGCGCATGGAATGATGCGCGGCCGTGAGCCTTTCTACGTGCATGGCGAGGCTGTGTGGTTGGTGGCGCTGGCGTCGTTCGCAGTGAGATTGGAATTGGAATGGTGGGCAAGGTACTCGCAATAATGATTCGAAGCTGATGCAGCACGTCGCGGGTGCGTGGCTGACTGATATATGATGTTGCTTTCCCACGCGTCGCCACCTCCCACCCGAGACCTGTGGGCGGGGACTCGATGTGGACGGGATGGCACTGGAGCTTTAGCGGGCTCTACGCTCTGGTGTTGAACGTGTTCCAGATTTGACCGTGCCACACGCAGTTCTGGTCCATACTAGAGGTCAACAGCCACCTGTCCCCTGTCACAAGGCTTCAATATTAAGCTCCCGCGCAAGTACAACGCCAGAATTACGAGACGATCTGACACGCACTTGGCCGCGCTGCGGAAACCACGCTGAAAGACGCGACGCAAAATCCCTCAGAGCATCTGACGAAGCACCAACACCGACACTCCGGATCTTTCTGACAACATTGAAAGAACGCACGCGAGCTTTCCAAACCTACATGTCCGTGCTAAGCTGGAGGCCCCGACGGAGTACAGCTGGCGGCCGCGAGAGGAATGGTCACTTCGACTCAGCCCAAAGAGGCGGAGGTTCCCGTGGCCACTCGCCATCCACCAAAGACAAATGCCACTATTGCTCGATGCTCGCCAGAAACAGCTCGATCCCCTCCTTGTGAAACAGCCACCATCACTACAGCAAACCGTCAGCTGTCCCACACCCCAGTTCTTCTGGCATGCGAGAAACATAGTTTCCGAATAGAAGGGGAAGTCCTGAGGTCCCCGAGACGGGCATAACTTCATATGTGATTGTTGCGCACAGGTTCGCAATCCCCATAGTCTTAGATACAATCACCTGCGGCAGAGAGTCTAGGCCAAAATGACGACGACGGCGAGGACAAGCAATTACGGAGATGGGGAGGAGCAGGTGGACAAAGAGGCGATGCGGAGGAGCAGAGAGGAGTTGGAGTAGGACAAGGACCGAACATAGGATAACAATGAGGAGCGGCAACTGAAACAGCAGAAGCGGCAACTTCAATGGCACGGTAGAGGGGCAACAGCGGCACCACGAGGAGCGCAAACTGGAGGCTGCAGCCAGAGACTAAGGCCACTTCGGATCTGATTGCGCTCGCCAATGGCCGCGCCAGTGGTGGCAAGGAGGCGACGGCAACGACGACCGCGGCCAGGAGTCTGGCAGTCTGGCGGCCGGCGGCGCCAGCGATGGCACCGGCCAAGCGGCGATCAGCCGTGCCAGCGGCCAGCGACAGCGGTGCCAGCGCCGGCGGCCAGCAGTGGCTGCGGCGGCGGCAGTCGGCGGCAGCCGCTCCGCCCAGAGCCGGACCAGCGGGACATTGCGGGCCACGCCAGCCGCTGGGGGCCAAAGGCCCACGCAGCCGGACCCCAGAGGCCCGGGCCGCTGCGCCGGCGGCTCCCCCGAACGGGGCTGGAGCGGCGGGGGCGGCAGCCTCGTCCTCCTGGCGCTGACGTTCCTGCCGCTGCTCCCTGCTGCTCCTGCCCCCGCCCCGGCTCCTAGGTTTTGTGTCTGTTCCGTGGACGCCTCCGTGGCCCCCAGCGCTGTCCGAGAAGGGCCAATTTTGGATCGGGTTCGGAAAACATGTGGAACCAGATTGGACCAGATTCGCCCATTCACAAAACGGAGACGAGAAGAACGAGGCGGGGGAGGAGCAACATGAAGGGCGAGCAGGAGCAGGAGGAAGAGCCAAATGAGGTCCAAATGATGCGGTCGAAATGCATGAAAAGCTGATTTCAATGTCGCCGCCCAATGACTCCCATGAACTGACATCGAACCTCGGCTAATGTGTGCGCGAGGCCGTCCTGCCAGGGGCCGCCTCTCAAGCCTTGGCCTGGGCTGGCACAGAACACCTGCAGGAAAATTCCACCGATGTCCGGGAGAGGAAAAATACGGACGAAAAGCGCGCATGGGAAACGGTGGGGCTAAGAGAAAAGTAGCTAGCCGTCACGCTGCAGATCCACGGTGGCCAGCGGCGGGCGAACGCTGAGGCGATACGAAGATGGTCCGAGAGCTGCAGTGCCGAAGTGGTCAAGCTAATTACAAAACCAGGGATGCTGGCGGGAGCGAACGTGCCGCAGTGCAGCCTGGGTGAGGGCGTGCGGACTGACCCTGCCTCGGTTCCCTCTCAGCTCTCAGGGTTCCCACCGTGCTCGGGGCTCGTCGGAAATCTGCCTCTCCGTCATGGCCACGCGGAGCCGATCGGTGGGTGGCGGGATAGAGGAGGGAACCCCTGGGATACTCGCTAAGGTTCGCTACGGTGTTATCGCCGCCAGCCGCTCCACCTTCTGCCCCTCCTCCATATCCACATGATCTTCCTTCTCCGGATACTATGTTTATTGCTAGCGCTGCTGCTCCTGCTCCTGCTCCTTCTTCTGATCCTACTGTTTCTCCTCCGTCGCCGTTTTGGCCCTAGCACTTGCTGCGCCAAGCGCAAAGGGATAGCGCGGTCCAGTCCAGCGGATGTGGGGTGGTTGTGATAAACGTAATCAATGGCCCAGGATGGTGTTCGTGCGCTGCCACCACGGTGGCGTCATGGTGGTGGCGCTCCTCGCTCACGGGGGCAGCATGTGTCAACTCCACTGCAGCCGCGGAGGTCGTGGCGACGGCAACATCCAGTGTTGCCGTTGCTGGCGGACCTCACGGGAAGGTTTGGTAGAGACTCTGTTCCTGGCAATGCTGCAGAGGGTGCTGATGCTGCGACGCTGAGGTGCGAGAGCGCCGCGCGGCCAACGCCCCTGCAATTCGTCAGTTTTTTCTGGGGCGGGCGATCTAAAACATAGTTCCGCGGGCCTTCGCGCCACCGCAGAAGCGGGGTGGCGGGGCAAGCAAACGGATGGCGGACAATCCCGGGTTGTCTGGAGGCCCGGGGGGGGCGCGGGCTGACAATTCAGGGCGGGGGGGCAGGGATCAATTTAGAGCCGGGCAAGCAAGAGCTGGGAAGGAGTTCGCGGGCTGACGATTCGAATCCGCAGGGGCGAACAATTCGAGGCCGCGGGGGTTGGTTTTGGTCGGCCCTGAATGGAAGGTACAAATTTCTGATCCGCCACTCCTGCGCGGAAGGCAGACATCTTGCGCCGCCTTCAGACAGAGACCTCCTTCCCCACCTCCTCTTCCGATTCTCCTCCCCCTCTTCCACCTCCTCCTCCTCCTCCTCGCTTTTCTAACCCTTGTCACCTTCCCCCTGCTAGTTATTGTTCCTCTACAGTGATTCAACATGAATACTATTTCCCGTCCCCCCTGATGCACCCCGTAACATTTCCCGCGCACCTCCGCGCATTGTGCTTTTAATCGCACGCATGTTTGGCGCGAGTCCGCTTCGGGAGACAGTGGATGCCACCTTGGGAAGTCAAACGTGCGGTCATGGGGGAAAACTCATGCGGGTGGTTCACCCCTACACCACCAGGTCCAGGTACGCAGCGTCCCCCAGGGCAGACTCGCGGCCCACCCTCCAGGGCGCGTCCCTTCCGAAAAGAGGGAGGCCACCGAAGCTGTTCCCTGGCGCTCGAAGGAGCACTGGAAAAATGTGGCAGTAACGTGACAAGCAGACGAAATCGAAAGAGTCGTATGCACATCACTGAATTAATATAATAATCACCAGAACTATATGACAATAACACGACACGCGGACGAAATCAACACAATCGTTTGCACATCACTGAATCAGTCAAAAATGCACGCAGCTGAATGCAAGAGGTTTGAAATCTCAACGAAACACTCAAAGGACCAATGGGGGCACAAAAAGATCCAGTTCCTGTGATAGCCGCATCTGCCATCCCACCGCCCTTCGCTCCTGTGCAAACATTCCTTCTGCATCGACATGTTTTCTCGAAGATGTGCCGACTCAGGTTGGTACTTACGTCGGGGATAAAAAAAACATCAAACAACTTCATAAACATACACTTTCGGCGGTCCCCGTGGATGTCCTGGATCTGCGCCGCGGCCGCGGGTGATTAAACCAACGCAGGATTCAAAATCAGTTTCAGCAAGGCGGCCGAATAGAACGCCAGGGGGGCAGACGGTTAAAAAAACAGATTCCGGCGGCTGAATTCTAGTAGTCTGCCACATTCATTCATTTTGGGGCCCCCGGGACGGGGGGCAGGGGGGGGGCATTTTCTTCATCGCTTGCCCCCCCGTACGCAAATGGATGCACTCTCGCGGCGTTGCGGCCATCCCAACAATCCCAACACATACCAGGCCGCGTGGCCGCCATGCTGTGGTGGCTTCCGGCTACAGTCGGAACATGTTGCGGATAGACACCCGAGAGGACACACTTCTCTTCGTAATGCCCCTGGCAAACGGAGGACATGCAGTGCGATGGACAGGGCACAGAGATGAGTGTCCCTGATGTTGCAGGGTCGACCTGCTAATCAGACCCAGCTGCAGAGCGCGGGGAGCGATGCTGGGACAGCACACCGCGGAGCAACGCGTCGCTTTGCCGCGGTTCGCTTCGCCAACGGTTCGCTTGGCCCAGGGGCTCGTTTCTCCCAGGGGCCCGCTTCTCCCAGGGGCCCGCGTCGCCGCCCGTTCGCTTCGCCTGGGTTCGGGCGGCAGGGCGGGCGAGGAGGGCGAGGAGGGAGGAGCGAACGAAGGTGGAAGAAGGGAGGACGAGCTGCAGGAGAAGTAGTGAGTGAGAAGAGGAGGGGGAGAGGAAAGAGGCGGCAAAATGGTGGACGAAGGGGGGAGATGGGGCAGGGGGGGAGGGGGGCGAGGAGGAGCAGGGGAGAAGCAACAGGAACATGGAACATAAGCGGAAAATAAGCGGAGGCAGGGCGGGGAAGAGAGGGAGAGGCGGAGCAAGGGCTGCGCGGCCGAGGAGAAGAGGGCAGCTGCGGCAAGAGGAGAGGCGGAAGTGGAGCGGGCAATGGGGGGGAGGAGGAGCAGCATCACAGGCTGCCCAGGCGCGAGCTGAACAGTTGTCCACTTTTGCTTTGTTTGCGGTTCCCCCCGTTCAGTCTCTTCGCTCCGCCTCTGCTGCAAACGACATCAGATTGAAAGCGGTCCACGAAAACGCCGAAACACCGTTCAGTTCGAGCCCTGGGGGACGGAGGAGGACAGGGGGGAGGAGCTGGATGACATCAGCCGAACCCTACCCCCACCAACCACCGATTCTCCTCACTCGACGGGAGGCGTGGAAAGGGTTCGGACTTCGCCACGCGTTCCACGAATTCCGAACCCTACCCCCGCCGCCCGTCGAGTTGCCCGAGTCGCTGATCGGGCAGGGTGGGACCTCGGCAGAGCAGCCAGCGGAGCTTGATGGGAGCGTTTTCCACCACCACCACCATAAGTTGGAGGGGGGAAGAAGGAGGACGAGGAGGAGGACGAAGAGGAGGAGGACGAAGAGGAGGAGGACGAAGAGGAGGAGGAGGAGGGCACCCTCCCCCTCCAACTTATGGTGGTGGTGGAAAACAGGCCCATCAGAGCTGCGCCTCTTCAGCGCGCTCCCGCCGCAGGCCACAGGAACTCGCGGTGCGCGGCCGCGCGCGGTCCGCCGCGCGCCGCCCACCGAGCGCAGGCCGCGGCCGGCGCGCAGCGGGGGCCTGGGCGTTTCGCTTCGAGGGCGCATCGATGCTTGCGGCAGGTTCGCGTTGCGATGGCGTCAGCGCTGGTCTCTGGCCCCCGCGCATCGTTCACCCTTGAACGATCACGGCTCTCCGAAGAGAGCGAATCGTTCGCTGTCGGCCAGTTATGGGCCAACGGCGGCGTTCAACCATGAACGCCCAGGGAACACACAGTGACGTAAACATGAAAATGCGACGATCCCCGCGGATTTCTCGGATCGGCGCTGGACCCCCCATCCCTGGCGTGTGGAGCTCGCCTGGGGCGGCGCCGGAGGCGCCCCCAGGGGGGGCCCAGCGCCGACCCGAGGGACCAGCGCGGATCTGCGAATGCCTATGCTGATGTCATTGCTTGTTCCCCGACGCAAAAGGGTCACGGCCGCGGCAACTGCGCGAACCTGCCGTACACGTTCGTTCTAGTCACGGAGCGGCCATCACGACAAGGCGCCTCTCGGTGAGCCTACGGCGTCGGACGACAGTCTGTCTGCCCTTCAAAGGTGCACCACGGGCAGGCGGGGGCCGCGAGAGGGGCACGGGCAGGCGGGTGGCCGCGAGAGGGGTTACGTCCGCCGACCCCCGCTTGCCGTGGGCGGGAAGACGTGCGAGATGACTGGCTCTCCCTTATCCAGTTTACTGCGCCACCGCACTGGCCCCATCCCCCCACCCCCCCTGCTCCTTCCACATCCCCATTTGCCTGCTAATCCTCCTCCACCTTCTCGCCCTTCTCCCTCCGCCCGTCCTACCCAACTCCCTCCTTCCGTCCCTCCCCTTCCTTCCCGTCAACAGCCACACGATGTGAATACAACTCCCTTTCTCCCCTGACTACGTGCGGGAAGTATCCCGCCCCCTCCGCTTCCTGTGTTTCTGGTACGAAGAACCGCATAAGGTGTATGTTCGTACGCGTTGTTTTGTACACTCCGATTGTTTTCGGAGTTTCGAAATGGTGTTCCCGCTGCATCGTGGGCCTCATGTTCGGACCAGCTATTTGTCTGCCCGCTTGTCTGGATCCGAATCCTTTTTTTATCCATGTCGCCCCCCTCATTTCCCCTCCTCCGCCTTCCCCTGGTCCTCCTGCTCTCCCCGCCCCTTCCAATCCAGCCCCTGCTGCTAATGTTCGTCCTCGTCGTCCTCACGTTCCTCTTGCTCATCCTCCTGCTCATCAGCCGCCTCCTCCTCCTCCTCCTGCCCCGTCTCCTCCTGTGCACGCGCAACTCCCATTCTCCGATTGCGCATAAGACGATCGGGGTCTGTCTGGGAGTTCCAGGTCCGCTATGATACGCGACCGCAGGTAGAGAATAAGGGATGGGAGGGAGGGGTAGGACGTCAGATATGACGCGAGCGCACCTAGCTTACCCCCTCCTGCCTTACATCTCCTGCCTCCCTTCCTCCACTCCCGTTCCTACCCGTCCCGGGTCCATCGTCCTTATTTTGCCTTCCCCCGCCTGCGTCGCTGCCTGCCGATCCTGCGACTTGTTTCGCTGGCGTCGCACTGGCTCTCGCACACAAGTGCACTAGTGGGCTGCAGCGTCGACGATCCTGCGACTCCTCCTGCTCCTCATGGTCATGCTCGCGCTGCTGGCCCGTCCTCCTCCCGCGGCGTTCTGGAGTGAGCTTGGCCGAGCCGAGAA